GACAGATAAAGCTAAAGCCCTGACCATATGAAATGTAGACAAGTGGAGATCAGCCCCACTGCAAAAAAACCAAGACCTTTGAGGAGCAACCAACTCAGTGAAAATGTAGACTAGGAAAAAGATATACCTACTGATGAAGAAAAGCAATCAAGAAACGTGTCTGTTTTGACCTGGGCTCCAAATGCGGGCAAAGGAGAGTTCCCCCAGAAGATTCATAAACACAGACCTGCACTCATGCAGTGCAGTCACGCTAACCCAAATCATACACACTAACTTAAAGTGACCCTAGGTTGGTAGTGTCCCAGGATGCTGGCTGAATAGAAAAAAACCAGAACTCAGAGCTCTCAGAACTATTCACTTCAGAATATTCCCACAGTCAAAGCCTGGCAATTGCTTACAAAACATATGAGGAAGACAGCCATCATAATTGAGACTCACACACACACAAATAAAAACATGGTGCAAAGTAATTTTGGGTCATAAAAATGACAAACACAATTATGTTAAAACTATAATGTGCATAAAGAAAGAAAAGAAAAAATAAAAACAGTGAAAGCAGCTTACAAAAAGACACTAAACAGAACTTTCAGAAGTAAAAAGTCACTAATGTTGGTGGGTAATTTTATAGGTAAATAAAATACTAGACTTTTTTTTCCTCTTGAGTTTTTAAAATTACATTAAATGGTTAAAAGCAGTATATTGTCTGATGTGCTTCTCAATGTATGTAAAGGAGATATTTAAGACAATTAATTAGAAAGTAGGGAGGATAAAGGGGCCTAAATGTGGTAAGTTTCCTACATTTCATCTGAAGCGGTAAGATATTAGTACTAACAGATGATAACATAGCAGGGATGTCAATTCTACCCAAATGGATATTGAAATTCAACATAATTCCTATCAGAATCCCAAGATTTCTTGTAGATATAGACAAGCTTATCTAAAATGTATACAGAAATGCAAAGTAACTAGAATAACCAAAATAATAAGAAAAAAAGAATAAAGTTGGAGAAATACACTGCCCAATTTTAAGCTTTAAAGAAATCAAGCCAGTGTGATATTTTCACAGGGTCAGACATACAGACTAATGGAGTAACTTAGAGAAACCCAGAAATAGACACACAAATATGCTCAACTGATTTTTGACAGAGATGCAAAAGCACCTCAAGGGAGGAAAGATAGCCTTTTCAACAAATGGTGCTAAAGCAACTGGACATCAATAGACAAAAACAAACCTGATTTCCACAGTAGCTGCACCAAACTGCATTCCCACCAGCAGTGTGATAGGGTTCCCTTTTCTCCACAGCCTCTCCAGTATGTCATTTGTGGATTTTTGAATGATGGCCATTCTGACTGGTGTGAGATGATACTTCATTGCAGTTTTGATTTGCATTTCTCTGATAATTAGTGATATTGAGCATTTTTTCTTGTGCCTATTGATCATTTGTATTTCTTCCATGGAAAATTGCCTGTTTAGGTCTTCTGCCCATTTTTGGATTGGGTTGTTTGTTTTTTTTCTTATTAAGTCGTATGAGCTCCTTATATATTCTGGAGATCAAGCCTTTGTTGGTTTCATCGTTTGCAAAAATTTTCTCCCATTCAGTATGGAGATTCCTTCAAAAAGACACCTGCACCCCAATGTTCATAGCAGCACTATTTACTATAGCCAAGACATGGAAACAGATGTCCACCAACAGATGACTGGATAAAGAAGATGTGGTACGTTTATACAATGGAATATTATTCATCCATAAAAAGTGACAACATAATGTTATTTGCAGCAACATGGATGTCCCTGGAGAATGTCATTCTAAGTGAAGTAAGCCAGAAAGAGAAAGAAAAATACCATATAAGATCACTCATATGTGGAATCTGGAAAAAAAAAAACAGAAACAGGCTAATAGACATACAATACAAACTTGTGGTTGCCAAGGGGGTGGGGGGTAGGGACAGACTGGGATTTCAAAATTTGTAGATACTGACAGGCATATGCAGAATAGATAAACAAGATTATACTGTATAGAACAGGGACGTATATACAAGATCTTGTGGTAGCTCACAGTGAAAAAAACAATATGATAACGAATACATGCATGTTCACGTATAACTGAAAAATCGTGCTCTACACTGGAATTTGACACAACATTGTAAAATGACTATAACTAAAAAAAAAAAGTTAAAAAAAAACCTGACCTAAACCTCACATCTTGTACAAAAATTAACTCCAAATTAATTTAGACTCTATAACACCAAAAGTATCATCCATAAAGAAAAAAAATGAATAAACTGTTATTCTTTTTTCATTTCAAGGACCTGAATGATAGTTGAATGATAATTTAAGAAATTTTTCTCAACATGTTGAACATTAGAGCTCTTCTCAGAAGACTAAAAAGAGTAATTAGAATTGAAGCTCTCTGTTTTATCCTTAAGCAGTAAAATGGATAGGTAGAAGGGACTTACATATATTATTTCAATTTAATGAAAGACATTGGCTAGACACCATTCACCTACAACCTATCATCTTAGTGTCTTCATGAAAAGCTCTAGGGAGTTAAATTTGAGTTTTAGACACTCGGGGCTAATTCTGGGACTGCTGGCATCAATCAAGGGTTACTGATAAAGAAAAAGGGATATTTTATATATTATGACAAGGCTGATACCATATCATCTTAAGTTCCAGCTCTCAATGCTTCTCTAACTTGTAAAGTCTTGTAACTCTTAGTGGAATTTAGGTTTATATAGTTTTAGCCTAAGTTTAAAACCCATTACACTAGAAAATGTAATTAAGAGACTTAGATTATGAAATATTTTATTTCCTTCTGCAATCCCAAAGACTAGTAAAGTGCCTGCTAAATAATAGGTCAATAAAGTTTGTGAAATGATCACTTTCTAAGGAAAAATGAAATTCTGAAATTTAAGAAACTGAAATAATAAAACTCATTGAAATTCTGTCACCTTCACCCATCTGCCACAATCAATCAAACCCCATCATTTTCACTCTGTGTTCTGCAATATGTGAGAGTCTCTCTGTCATTGTTCTAGTGTTTTGACAATGCCTGAGTTGAGGCTAAATGTGGCAGTCACCAGAGAACAAACAGTAATTGAAATCATAACCACAAAGGAGATCAGCCTAGGAAGAGAGTATGGACTAAAAAGAGAAATAGCCTAGGATTGAGACTTGAAGAGCCTCAAAGTTCAACAGCCAGGAGAAGAAAATCAAAATTTCAAAGACAGAAAAGAATGCTCTCCTCAAAGGAGCAATAAGAGAAAACCTGGGGGAGTATGATGTCAAGGAAATCAAGCTTTCAAGAGGGTAGTGGGCAATAAAATCATATATGCTAAGAAAAGTGAAATAAAGAATTAATTTAATTTAGTAGTATGGATGTCAAAGGGAGCTTGTTGAGAGCTGTTCTGGTGAAGCAATATGAATAACAACCAAAGAGAAACAAGGTGAGGAACTAAATGGGCAGGGGGGATGTGGAACTGATGAGTTGACTCTTTTGTGAAGTATGGCTGTGAAGAGGAAGAGGTGAAATCAAAAGATTTTCCAGACATACAAATGATCAAAAAGCACATGAAAAAATGCTCAATATCACTAATTATCAG